CACTGCCAGAGGGTCGAATGGCGCGAACCATAGATGTATCTATTTAATCTACCGAGGCGCTCGGCCCATTCCACAATAGACAAACACATTCAAATAGTCAAGTCAACAACTCATCAAGGAGAAATTATTCAGAAAAAAGCAAGTTTCTCTTTCAAAAGTCAAGAATTGATATCTAGTCTACTAGAAATTCATTTACATGTTCAATACGTTCAAGAATTTTTAAATTTATCAACAAGGCTGCATTTATTGCAAGTAAGCATGCTTCTGGGTCCTAGACTACCCGGACTTAAGCATAATAGTAGCTACGCACGGACTCTCATCACCTCGTGCGTACGTATCCCCCGCAAATAGGAGCACATAACCAATTAACTCACCTATGGGGACAATTCCCTCTTACAAGGTTAGAGAGGAGACTCACCTCGCTCCATTGTGCACTTCCAATACCAAGAATGAGCCCGAACCCTCAAATTAGAGCCGAACGATTTAAAACTAGATAACCGAGGTAGGAACTAGTCAATATAAGCTTACAAGATCATATTCTAACTATTTAAGCAATTTTCCACCCTTAAACACAATTTTCCTAAGATCCGACCCCGGGCCCATGTGCCCGGAATCCTAAATTTTTCAAGGGAACCCGTATTAAATGAACCTCACTGCCTCAGCGATTTCCGCATCTGCGGTCAGGGGACGGCATCTGCGAGAAATGGACGGCATCTGCGAAATGGGCCCAAAGAGCTGGGACCGCTTCTGCGGTCTGGAGGCTGCATCTGCGGAGCCGCTTCTACGGCTTGGGAGCCGCCTCTGCGGTTCCTGGCTTGGCCTGGCTTGGGCCGCTTCTGCGATGGAAGGACCGCCTCTGCGGTCTCGCACTTGCGGTCCACCAACCGCAGGTGCGGTTATGACAGAAGCAGCAACTTCAGCTCTTCTAAACAATGTCTATTTTAAAGTTCTTAATATTAGGATTTCTTACTTAATTCTAGTTGATTTAATAATCAAAATCTTGGTTAATTTTAAAGTCATAAATATTAGAAAAGTAACTAAATTACGATTTTATCTAATGAAAAGTTTACTTGTAAAGCGTAAAAAGGCGAACGATATTATGCTAAGGTCTTCGTGCTTTATATATATATATATAAATATATATATTATACATATGGTGGGAGAGCGGGTCTTGCTTCGGGTTTCGCCTATGAAGGGCGTTATTAGATTTGGAAAGAGGGGCAAGTTGAGCCCAAGGTTTATTGGCCCCTTTGAGGTGTTGCGGCGTGTTGGGGAGGTTGCCTATGAGCTTGCCTTACCTCCCAGCTTGGCAGGAATTCATCCGGTATTTCATGTTTCGATGCCCCGGAGGTATCATGGTGATCCGTCCCACGTGTTGGATTTTAATTCAGTCCATCTGGACAAGGATCTATCTTATTTGAGGAGCTAGTGGCTATATTGGATAGGCAGGTTCGAAAGCTAAGGCTGAAGATCATTGCATCGGTAAAGGTTCAGTGGCGGGGTCAGCTGGTCGAGGAGGCGACTTGGGATACCGAGCAAGATATGCGCAACCGTTATCCTCATCTTTTCACCACTTCATGTATGTCTCTATGCTCGTTCGAGGACGAACAAATGTTTTGAGAGGGGGAGGATGTAACGACTCGGCCGCTCTTTTTGAGAATTAACGCCCTGATCCCTTGTTAACTGCTTTCCCCATGTCTTTTTCTGCTATTGTGATTTGCCGGGATGGTTTATGTTGAGTTTTGGAGTGTTTTGGGATACTTAGTCCCCAAATGAGAGTTTAAGTCTTAGAATTTAGACCATAGTCAGAACAGTGTGAAGGCGGCTCCGGAATGGAACTCCATCAATTCCGTTATCTCCGTTAGGTGACTTTGGGCTTAGGGGCGTGTCCGGATTGTATTTTTGAGGTCCGTAGCTTATTTAGGCTTGAAATGGCGAAAGTTGAATTTTTGCAATTTCGGGCCGATAGTGGAATTTGGGTCGGAATCTAATTCTGGAAGTTGGAGTAGGTCCGTAGTGTTGGTTATGACTTGTGTGCAAAATTTGGGGTCAATCGGACATGTTTTGGTTGGTTTCGACATCGGTTGTAGAATTTTGAGATTTCAAGTTCATTAAGTTTGGATTGGAGGGTGATTCTTAGTTTTAGCATTGATTGATGTGATTTGAGGGCTCGACTAAGTTCGTATGATGTTTTAGGATTGGTCGGTATGTTTGGTTGAGGTCCCGGGGCCTCGGGTGAGTTTCAGGTGCTTAACAGATGAAAAATTAGACTTGAGCAAATTCTGAAGTTGGCTGCTTCTAGTGTTTTCGCATTTGCGATGGGAAGCCCGCAGGTGCGGCCCCGCAGAAGCAAGGAAGGAGGTCGCAGGTGCGGTTTGAGGCCAGAGGGCCAGTGGTCGCAGATGAGACTCAAGATCCGCAGAAGCGGAGCCGCATCTGTGAAGAAATGAGCGCAGGTGCGATGTTTGAGGAATTAATGAAATTCCGCAGATGCGGAGCTCTAGCCGCAGAAGCGGGATAGCAGATGCGGCCCCTTGAGCGCAGATGCGGAAATCGCTGGGCAAAAGAGGATTCCGAGGGTCTAAAATTTCATAACACAAAATTTGATTTAGAGCTCGGTGACATGCGATTTCTCGAGGGATTTTGAGGGAGAACTATTGGGTAACTAATTCTAACTCTATTTTGATCATATTACATTAATCCATTATTATTTTTCAAATTAAGGAATTTGAGGGTGGAAGTTTGGAAATGGGGGAAAAAGTTCCCCAATTGAAAATCTGAGTTTTGAATGGGAATTTGACGTCGGATTTGGATTATTTTTGTATGAGTGAACTCGTGAGTGAATGGGTGTTCGTAGTTTGTGACTTTTACCCAATTCCGAGACGTGGGCCCGGGGAGGATTTGTGGGCATTTTTTATTTTCTTACCCTAGCTTTGATTTCATTAGTTAAATTAGTTGCTTGTAGCTTTATTTACATTATATAATTGGTTTGATTAGATTTGGGCCACTCGGACTTGGATACTCGTGGCAATAGTGTGATTTCGGATTGATTTTGAGCTTGGTTCGAGGTAAGTGGCTTGCCTAACCTTGTGTAGGGAACTCCCCTAAGGATTTGGTACTGTTGTTATATGAATGCCGTGTACGTGAGGTGACGAGTGCGTACACGTGCTAATTGTTGAAAAAGAACCCCGTTTTCATTAAGCAAATATCTATGTTTTCCTTTAATTGAGCAATATTAGTATAAGTAGCCATCCTGTTTAGCTTAGGGAAGCATGCTTACGTGCCTTAACTGTCTTCACTGCTTTAATTGCTTACCTGGTCTCTGTGCAACATGTTTAGAGTAAGGATTGCCTGTCTTCTTTGATATGAATTGAGTTTAAACTGTAGAATTTCTTGTTGAACTTTTATTTATGTTGATTGATCGGTGTGTTTACTTTGGGACTACGGAACGGTATTCCGGGAGACCCCCCTGCACATTTATATTTGGGACTACGGGACGGTATCCTGGGAGATATCCCTGTACTGGATATATTTACTTTGGAACTATGGAGCGATATTCCGGGAGATCCTTCTGCACATTTACGTTTGGGACTATGAGATGGTATCCCGGGAGATCCCCTGCTGCTATATCTTTATATTGAATTGTGGTGTTTTTCTGTGATTTCATTTTTGTTAACTGTTAGTACTTAATCTTACTGCAATATTTCTTACTGTTTTATTTTATTACATATATAAACCAGTAGGGCCCTGACCTAATCTCGTCACTACTCGACCGAGGTTAGGCTTGGCAATTACTGGGTACCGCCGTGGTGTACTCATGCCCTTTCCTGCACATATTTTTCGTGTGCAGATCCAGGTTCGTCGTACCAGCCTCATCACTAGTTGCAGTCGCTGCTGCCTGTTGGAGACTTTAAGGTACATCTGCCCGCGTCCGCAAATCCTTGGAGTCCCCCTCTATCCCCTTATGTTCATTTCTCTTTCTCTTCTGTAGAGATGATGTATAGAACAGTTAGAACATCTTAGTAGCTTGTGACTTGCGAGTTTCCGGGTTTTGGGTGTTGTTGGTATTTTCTGAAGTGTTTACTGTATATGCCGAGTTGCATTTAGTTGCTTAATAGATAGTTGTATTGCCAATAGTTAATATTTATGCTTTGTTTTTTTTTTAAATTTCTGGAGTGTGTTAGGCTTACCTAGTCATAGAGACTAGGTGCCTTCACGATAATTCACGGAGGGAGGAATTGGGTCGTGACATAAAGCTACTTAAAAAATAATTCTTTACAAGATTGATGAAAGAACTTTGTAATTGTAGTTTGTTTCGTATGTTCTATTCTCTTACTAACGATATAATGCTTGAATTGGCGAAGATTTGTGTCCAAACTTTCAGCAAAAGGGTATCCAATAGCTTTCCCTTGAAGGCAATCGAAAAGCTTAACAAGTGAATCTTCTATCTAAATATTTTTGTGTACTTGTCCAACGAAAAATATATCATATGCAAACCTTAAATCTTATGTTACATGCAAGATGGAATCTTTGTTCAATGAAAAAGTTTGTGTGCAGAGTTTTAGAATTATTATAAGTAATCTTACAAATTCTATATGACTATTATAGAGTGGTAATTTTACAGAGAGTATTTTGCTATAAATATGATTGTTGTTGTTATAGGTAAACAATTTGTTATAAAGAGGTAAAATATAACTTAAAAAATCGAAAAAACTTAATTTTTATAGTAAATAACTGTTATATAAAAATATTGCTATATAAAGGTCTGAGTGTATATAGTATTTCAAAAGCTTTTATCAAGAATTTAAGTTATATGTAGTTTTTTACATTATACGCGAAAGATTAAATTTACAACAAAATATACACACCCGCAATTGCTACGTTCATAATTCTATTTATGGAAAAGACATTGTACGAGAATTATGCCAGTTTAACGTTTCCTCATTTTATAGGCTCAAAATTCAGCGAGTCCCCACAATCTTGATCCACAGTGAAAAGTGAAAACGACCACCATTAAGAGATGAGGTTCTCTCGTTTAGACCCCGCAACCCCAACACGTTGGTCTAAAATTCACCATTCTTTCTCCTTCCCTTGGGCCACCCTCTAGATTTCCTTCTTCTGGTTTTCATTGCATACACTTCTCTTTCACCCCCGCAAAAAAATATCTAATTCAAACAAACTCTGAACCAACACAAAATTCTCTCTTAATTATTCCCCTGTAATTCAAAAAATTAGCTCAATCATGGCCACTGTTCCATTCTTGGTTGAGTCAAACCTCAAATGGAACCCTTTGTTTTATACTCCAAACTCAATACAAGATACCCGTTTCCTCCATTATCAAAAGCTTACACCCTCAAGACTCTCAAAACCCTCCAAACTGACCGTCAAATGTTTCTTCAAGAACCATAAAAATGGGAACTTTAATGATAAAAACGGGTTAGAATTGAAAAACGAAGAAACCCCGTTTGATAAAGTTGTTAAAACTGTAATGAAGGCCCTCAAAGCATTGCAGAAGCCAGCTGTAGCGGCTGTACTGGTGGGGTTGTTATTGATGTATGATCCAAATTCAGCATTGGGTGCTTCTGGTGGGAGAATTGGTGGCAAATCATTCTCTTCTTCGCGGGGTTCTTCATCTTCGTCGAGGGGGTATTCTACGAGGAGAGCAGACCCTAGTTTTTCGTATTCTGTTCCGTATTATGCGCCTTCTCCTTTTGGGTTTGGTGGGGGTGGTGGCGTTTATGTTGGCCCAGCTGTTGGTTTTGGGTTTGGGTCCAGTGCCTTTCTTATCATGATGGGTTTTGCTGCTTTTGTTTTGGTTTCTGGGTTTCTCTCTGATCGGTCTGAAGGGGGCAGTGTGCTTACTGCTACTGACAAAACTAGTGTTCTCAAGCTTCAGGTAATCAACTGAACTGATTACATAAAAAGCATTATTGTCTTCATGATTAATATTAGTGGTTATCATAGAAGACCACAAATTTAATGTAGAAGTGTTGAAAAACATTATTGTTCATAGGTTACTTTAAGATTTGCTTTCCTTTGGTTGGTTATAATTATAGTGAGGTTATTAAGTAGTAATTTTTCTTGCCTAGTTTAGTGGTGAAAAGTTGTTTGCTTTAGTTCTTGAAATTTGGGTGATTGGTCCGTTTACTCGTATGTGCAATGACTTTGTTCGCGGAAGAAGTTGAATTGGGATGGTGAAGTTGTTTTGAGCTTTTGGATGCTCTTGAATTCCTTTGGAGAAATTTTAGATTAGTGATAGGTGTAACTCTGCACTGAGAAGGTTATTGGTAACGGCAATAATGACAATAATGATGTAATGCTATAGCCTATGAAGTAAGAAGGTATATCTGCATTTGTTGCTGGGATGCCCATGTTTCCCATATTTAAAGTTTTGATGCGTTGAGACCCTCCCATTTATTTAGTCGTGCGCTTTGTCTCCTGTTCTCCCAGATATCATTTTCAGATAGCGTAAAGTAAATCCACAGGGCTGCGGGATGTATCATCTCTGCTTGGACCTGATTTTGGTGCACCTAGTTTTTGATACGTCTGCATGTACTTGAATATACATCTGGTTGTTTCCCTTTCTTGAATGTTGTGATTAATTCTATAATAGATAATCGGTTCTAAATAGAGTTCAATAGAATTGTTTGCGTCCATCTGTCTAAATTTTGAATGTTGCGTATTAGGTAGAGATGCTTTGGCTTTATGTAAGGCCTACAATTATCAAATTCTTAACGGAAACCTTTTTGCTGAAGTGTATACAACTGAAATTATGGTGGCGTATGATAGCTGCTCCACCACCATTCTCTGACAATATTCCTAGAATTTGCTTGTGCAAGCTGCATCTGAAGAAGTTCTCTAGTTTCGAACTGTTGATACTTCTCGCCCTCCATATTTCAACCAATAAGTAGATGACTAGATGCTACTTTGAAAGTTATGTCTGATAACCAAAAATACAGGGATGACTCTACTCTGCTTTTTATGTTCTAATAATGGTACTGATGATGGTCAACTAGTTTGTGCTCGTAGTGTAGAATTTTTTTAAATCTAGAATGAACCATCTTAGAAAGGTACTTTATGTAGCCCTTCTATGTTTTTTCTTCACGTGGTCATGCTATCTATTGTTCCTTGCTACGATTCTTCCTCCTGCTCATGGCTGCTGTTGACACACTAAATATCAAACTCGCATAAGTGATTCCTGGATATTGTGTGTTTGATTTGTGCATTCTGGCATGAAGTGTGAAGTTGTCGGGCCATTATCTTCACTTCCACTTGCTAGAATGCTCCCAATTGAATTAAGTCTTTTGAATGGCCTCCTCTCCTTTCCCTTCTAATGGGTAGATGAAAAGAACAAACTTTGGGGGTAAGCATAATTTTAATGTAGGACACTTAAATTTTTGTATCGATTGAGGGAAAAAACTGCATACAAGGTTGACATTTCCCAGATGGTTTCTAAAGGTTTGGCTGCGAAGAAGTGATAGACCAACAGCCAGGAATATCTGCATTACCTGGTTTAGTGTATCCACTGTTATATTCCTCAGACATTGCTTATGATGACCTTGATATCTAAGGTTCTTGTATGTTGAGCTCTTGTAATGGTGCTCTGCTGTTGCCATTTTCTGAAATTTTGTTTGCCTTGCATTTGCATTGTGCTTAGACTTTGTTTTCTAGTGTTTAACTGCCTTTTCTCTTCTTTTTTTTTCCTGAAGGTTGGGTTGTTGGGCTTGGGTAGATCACTCCAAAAGGATCTCAACCGGATTGCAGAAGTAGCTGATACGTCCACATCGGAGGGTTTAAGCTATGTGTTGACAGGTAAAAATTGTTTGGGCAGATCATTAAACCATAGTTTGTGTGCAAATATAGGAATGATGATTAGTTCCCTTCTTTGTGGTAATAACGTTCTATATTAAAAAAAATATTATTGAAGAAAGTTGTCTGACGTGTTTTCTCCCCCTTCCTCAACTCACCCCAGACCAAAAGGGATAAAAGAGAAGAAACGACTATTACAAAAATTATGCCTCAATTTTGAACTAGTTGGGCTTGCTAAATGAATCCCTGTACCCACTCCAACCTGTTTGGGGCTATTCCATCTCAATACTTGATAATATGTTTTTAAAGACAAATTAGAGGTTCAAAAATAGGGATTCTGTTAGTCTCACATTTATATCTATACTGACATACAAGTCTCTAGTCAATAATTTTTTTTTATGATAAGAGAGAAGTCTTTAGTCAAATTAAAAAGATCCTTCGCAAAATCAGACCTAATGGAAGAGTCTATCACTTATTTGGATACTTGTTCTCATTGTGTTTTGTACTTTGTTAAGTCTGCATTAGTTTCAAGAGATTGTATGTTTTTGGGAGAACTTCTTTCTATGTAAATTTAGGTCTACTTGACCCTTTTCTAACACCTTCAATCATCCTAATTTCACACCTATATCCAGATATCTTGAATATAGACCCTTTTTGACATTACAAGACCATCTCGAGCGATTGTCTGTGATCGTATTCTCTATGTGTTCTTATTTCTTACATAAGCTGATTGATTTAGGGTTTTCCTTGTTGCAGAGACAACATTAGCATTGCTTCGACACCCTGATTATTGCATCTCAGCTTATTCATCTGTGAGTAATGCAATACTTCCTCTATGTTGCTTTCTGGTGTGTGATTATGTGGTTTTAAACTGCGGTAGCGGCAAACAATGAACTTTTGTCCTCTTTTTGCTCTGCAATAGCATCAGTTCTCTTTGTTCTTTTCTCATTTTTGCTCCGGATATGATCGAGTCAAACTTGAATTATATGATAATTTTACTTTTTAAATCAGCTAAAATTCATTAGACTGGTTTTAATGTGAAGTTTGGTAACTCTGATTGACTTCAGTTTACCTTTTCATTTCTATACTCTCTCCATTTAAAAAATAAACGAACTGGTTCTAAGTACAATGGTCAAGTTATAGGTCTCAATTCTGACACCAACTCTTAATTTTTGAAAGATGAAATTTCTTATTTAGAAACTATAGAAAAAGTACTTTATGGAAAAATTGTTATTTAATAAAATGCTCGACTCATATAATAATGGTGTCATGCATTCCCATTTCAAAAAAAAAAAAAAATATTATGATGAAAGATGAAAATTTGATATCGTGAATGAGTTCCTAATTATTTCATTTACTCAGAAGTAGACGGGTATCCATCTCTTGCATCTTTGAGAAACCTTGTAATCATGGTTGAGTCCTAGTTTCATCATATTGGTGCTTGTTTCTTCAGAATATCCTTCTGCTGAGTACAGATGTGATACATTTATCAGAATGTCACGATACTTGAATCCCTCTCATTGCAATATCTTGTTTTTGTTGCATAACTAGTGAAAAAGAATCATAATCCTTATATAAAACAGCTTTTATAACGCCCAAGACTTCTTATTTTTAGTGCTTATATGCTGCTATGATTACCTATGCATCAGCCATGCAAGATAAAAAGATGCAAGATAGAAAACCTAATACCTTAATGTTATAGTTCCCCTTTCTGCCAAATACAAATGTCATGAAGTAATTACTGTATGAGTCATTTAAGATCTCGTATTTCCTTTGAGTTCCGGACTACACATATGTTGAACTATATAGGTTCTCGTCCAAGCATCAGCAATTATCAAATACCTTGACAGAACAATCATAGAACGGTCTCTTCATCAAAACAATTATAGAACTGCTCTGCCCTGCATCACCAGTATCTGAAAGAATTAGGAGGAAATTTATAATGACCAAAGCATAAACTTTTGGTGCTCTCTGTTGATAATAATCATGATTGGCGTCTTGAGGGATCATAGTTCTTTCTCAGTATTTAGTTGACAATCCCTGTTATTAATCTGATCTCTAGATCAGTGTTTTTCTTCAGCTAGGCTGACCCTTCTTGTTCCTTTTAGATATTTGGAGCTAGTATTTGTAAAATTGTGTCTGGTTTTGTAAACATACAGGGGGATAAAGCTGCTTTATCTTAGATATTATAGATCAGAACTGATTGTGTTTCTATAATTTGGGGAATATTGGTACTATTAATAGGAATTGATTCTTTTTTTTTTTTATGATCTTTATTTTTGGGGCCAAACACGATATGTTAGGTGGTTTTTCAGTCTGTTAAGTTTCTTAACTTTATTTTTGGTTTGTTTGTTGTCTCTCTCATTATTGCATTTTCACACCAATGCATATCAGGAAGGTCTCTGAAATTTTGTCATTCTACTGAGTATATTTGTTGTGCCTACCATGTAGGTTGATGTCAAGAGGAGCATGGAAGAAGGGGAGAATCGATTCAACCAACTTTCCATTGAGGAGCGTGGTAAATTTGATGAAGAGACACTTGTGAATGTGAACAACATTAAAAGGAAAAGCTCTACGAGCCAGAGGGCAAATGGATTTAGCAATGAATACATAGTGGTAAGTATGACCTTGTATAGCCTTTCTCTTTTAATTTTGTTGGTATTTTTAGGCCAAATTGTGGAAAACGGGAAGGCCTGCTTTGACTAATGTGACTTTCCTTAGTTCCATTAGGGAAGGATTTTTCTAAATGTCAGACCTTATCCCTTAAAAAAAACTTTTTAAATATCGGAAGGTCTTATCTTAGTGCTGTTGCTGGTATTAGGACTAAGGCTTAAGTTTCGAGAGCCCTGGAGAATAAAATAAGTTAAGAGTATGAAAAGGTGTGCTATATGATTCTCCGTATAGGCATTTCTGAATTGATTTTGATGCCCTTCCCCAGAAGATAAAACTGAGAGCCCCGCATCCGATGTGAAAGACATTGTCTACCTTCAATATTTTCAAGAGGATCTATGCACTGTAATGGATTTATTGTTCTATCATTTAATTGCTGTTTTAGTTTCTATATCCTTATCATTTTCTCCTGGAGTCAAATTTACTCCATTGGGTTTATATACTAATGAGCCATCTTTAGTTGAACGCACCTAATGTTTTCTTTCCATGATCGTTCAATTTTTTCTGCATATATGCAATTTCAGGTTACAATCTTGGTAGCTGCTGAAGGCGTTTATAAATTGCCTACTATTAATGGAAGTGGAGAATTGAAAGAAGCCTTGCAAAAGATTGCGTCCATTCCTTCCAGTAGAACACTAGTAAGCGAACGAAATGGTCATTAAGAAGCAACAACTTTTGTGCTACTTCTAGTTTTTCATTTTGTGATATTTACTTGTTGCAGGCAGTTGAGATTTTATGGACTCCACAGAACGAAAACGACACGTTATCAGAACGAGAACTCCTCGAGGATTACCCTCTCCTGCGGCCTCTGTAAGAAAACTGGGATTTCATGCTTTTCTTTTACTTTCTAAAGATCATATAGGCTGCTCTCAACCCCTTTTTGTTATCTTCATGTATATAGCTCGTAGAGCATCGATAATATTTGTGTAAGAATGAGACCAAATTTTCCTAATTGTACTAGTAAAATTGTTTATATAAAATGACCAGATTCTCCTTCAGTTACTCAGCAATCACTACTTCTACACTCCACCACTAAAACTCTTCTCCACCCCTCAAAAGAAAAGAGAAGCCAAGTGAAATAACATGTCCTTTCAGGATTTTAAAGGTGATATAGTGGCAATGTGGAGCTGCACTTGATCAGCATTTTCCTTTAGCATATTTTGTTAATTAAATATGGAAGACATAGAAGGGAAGTCTTGGAGCAACGGTAAAGTTGTCTCTGTGTGACCTATAGGTCACGGGTTCGAGCTGTGGTATCGGGCACTGATGCAAGCATCAGGGTAGGCTTCTACATCACACCCTTTGAGGTGCGGATCTTCCCCGAACTCTGCATGAATGCGGGATGCTTCGTGCACTGGGCTGCCCTTTTTAGATTTGCTTGACATAAGAATCATCTCATTGTTTTACCTTTATGAATTTCAGTTTTCTCGGTTTTGAACTATGAATCTTCAAATCACATTATTATTGGATATAATCTTTTTGAGATGTCACATCCAATTAGTGGATTTGCCAGGTAAGATGCGGTAGTGATATTTGATGGGATTCTTCAAATCAAAATTAGATTGAGATTTGCTATTTTGCCCGTCTCTATCAGTTCTTTTGTAAGATATATCAGTACAACTGTAAGTAGATTGTCACTTGGAGAGATTTTTTTTTTAATAACTGAGAAATCCCGAGGACCTTGTTTGAAACTCGGTGGACAGCGGATTTGTTTCTCTACCCTTCATCACTTAAATATCAAGCTTTTGTATTCGCGTCAAAATCACTCGCAGGTTGTTGCTCAATAATAATCAGTACAATTTTGCTATAGATTTTCTTTTCAAGATAAACAGAGAAAATTGAGTTGTCACATTTGGAGAATTCATATTGTAATATTCCCATTTCATAAAGTTGTCTGATATCCTACATATCATACTTTTTTTAGTTATCTATCAACACTTTAAACATCTTTCGGCGTAACTGGTAAAGTTGTTTCCATGTGACCAGGAGGTCACGGGTTCGAACCGTGGAAACAACCTCTTGCAGAAATGCAGGGTAAGGCTGCATATGATAGACCCTTGTGGTCCGACCCTTTCCCGAACCCCGCGCATAGCGGGAGCTTAGTGCATCGGGCTGCCCTTTTGGTCTCATATATCAGCTATGTGAATGAAACTTTTTTTTGGTAGAGAGTACTTTACCCCCTTAGGAGTTATTTGGTTTGAAGAATAGTTATGTTGGGATTACTTATGTTGGGAATAATTGTGCTGGAATTAATTATCGTGGTATTATGTCTTATTGACTGATTGCTATGTTGTATTAATCTTGGGATTATCAACTTTACTGTTTTATTCTGAGATAACTTATTCTAGGATTATATTACCCTCTAGCAGGTGTAAGATATCCAAAATTATTTTTGCTTCTCCATCGAACCGAACCAAACGGTCCCTTAGGTTTGTGTTTTGCTTAACCCAATGAATCTGTGTAATAGTCCTCGAAACTAGAAAAGGATGAAAATCAAAGCAATGTATGTAGGAGAAAGTGCACATGGAAGGTTTCAACTTTAGAGGAAGTGCTTGATCATGCTTCAATTCCACCAAATTCGGAATATTTTAATTTTTCTTCTATATTAATATCTTTTACAGTAAGAATACAATTTGAGTATCCTAGGACTATTGGAATCCAATACAAAATTTCTAATGTGCTGGACTAGTGCACTTGAAGAAAGCCACATTTTTCCATCTATCATATTATTATCATCACTATCATTACTGTTATAGCTAATAACTTATTCTATTAAAAAAAAAAACTTATTCTTATTATTGTTATTACTATATATTCTAATACAACTAGGACAAATATTTCTACATTGTAATTATCTTAATTGTTATTAGATCATTTAAAGCAACTTTTGGAAGTGGAAGATTGGTATGCTGTATGATTTGGAGCCTACTCTTTAGATGAGGAGAAATTCAAAAATAGCTAGATTTACAAGTGGTCATTTAAAAATAGCCACAATTTCAAAAGTAATCGAAATTTAGTCACTTTTCATGTAAAGATAAATCTGAACGAAAACACTGTTCAAAATCCGAAAAATGCTCCAGCATAATATACTGGAGTTCCAGCATAAGTATACTGGAACTCCAGCATATTATAAGGGAGATCCAGCATAAGTATACTGGAACTCGAGCATAATACACTGGAGTTCCACTATAATATACCGCTCCAGTATAATATGCTGGAAGTTCATACACAAGTGCTCCAATCTCCAGTATATTATGCTGGAACTTTCCGCGTGTTGGAGTTTCAGCATAATATGCTGGAAGTTCATACACAGGTGCACCGATCTCCAGTATATTATGCTGGACTGGCCCCTTGTTGCAGCAAAATAGTGGCTATTTTTCAATGACTTTGCAAACGCTGACTATTTTTGAATGACCAGTCCGAAAAATGGTTAGCCCGTGTTATTTTAACTTTAGATGATGCATGACTTTAATTAAATTGCTTTCTTGAATATAAACAAAAATCGGAAACTGATAAAGAATAGAAAAAATTACAAGAAAAGACACATGACTTCACACCATAACAAAAAATGGCTCATGTTTTTAAGTTTTACCTGACTTAGCCCATATTGTACATATTTTGAAAGCACTAGCAAATTCAAAATTTGTTGTGTTCTTACAACCATTGCTTCTAAAAGCTATGGAGTTAAATCTTACAACATTGCTTTCATTCTCTCTTCTTCTCACATCTTTCTACATATGCTTCAAGGAACCGTTCGCCATTACTGCTTCTCTCCCCGTGTCACCTGATTGCAATGTAATAAGAAAATTGAAAAGTAGAAGTCCACCATTGAAGGTCATTCAAAGCTTTGCTTTCGAAAATAGAATTTTTTTAGTTTGTTAGTTGTTCGGATTGGGTGTTGTTCCAATTGATTGAAAATATCAAAAGGAGTTCAAAATTTATATTTTTGAAGTGATTTGGAGTAGATTTGAGCAAGATTTTAGTTAAATTTCAAAAAAGACGCAAGGAAGAAGACGAAGTCAGTGTTTTATATAATTATGTATAATCTTGTATAATAGTGTATATGAGTGTATAAACACATCTTATACACTTTTATACACCTTTATACAAGCGTTTGTAGACGAACTTCTTTCACGATTTTCAGTTGCAATTCTTTTCAAAACCAGTCCAAATCTCCATTAAATGACTTCAAATTTTATATACAACCTCCTTATACTATTTCTAACAAGCTTAAATAACACCCACTCCAAATTTTTCACAAAATCAAATTCGGAATTTAAATCCACATATTTAAGCTTGTTAAAAGTCTAATTTTCACCACCCAAATGGATTTGGTTTGTTGAACTAATAATTAAGTCACAGTTACTGAATCGAAAATTAACTTAAAAGTTTGAGCAATCTTTTTTAAAAATTAAATAGTAATTTCGAGAACCTATTGGAGTTGAATATTGAATATTAGACCATTATTTTTGGGCTAGTTGGTTGTAAATTGAAATATAGCTATAAGATTGAAAAGTAGGGAGCCAGTTATTTTAATCTTAATTTTCCCTAAAGAATATTATGAAACGATCATTTATCTTCTTTTTCCCTTTTTTACAATTCAAAAGAGTTGAAATCTATAAGTACGGATGGAATCCAAGAAGTACACTAATTAGTACCAATACATAGTTAGTGGGAAAATTTTCAATTATCTGTCCATAATGACGAATTAACCTTTTATTCTTGGACAAATAATCAAATACTAAAGATAGTAATTGATGCGCGGCCGAAAAAAAATTGGCGGTTGATAAGATTAATGAAAAGCTATCGAGTTAGTGGAAATTAAGGATAAGGATCTTGAAAATGATAGAAAAGTTTTCTTCTCATGTTTTTACACTTTATTAATAAAGTTAATTTTCTTGATGAAGATGTGTATTTGCCTAAAGGGAATTCATCAGCTACCTTTTATTCTCACTTTTGATTTTACTCAAGGAACAGTCAACTATTCCTGCTTTCAAATTTGGCAATACTCCATATTGATTGACTTTAATTTCCTTACAAGAGAAATTACACCTTTTTTGCTATAAAAGAATGTGTGTGATGGATTGTCTAAGTAGAATTCAAACATCTTCTATTAAATAGAAAGATGAGTAAATTTCACTTAATCCATGTTAGACCAAAAATATAAATCTTGATTCAAATAATTAAATTTATATGAACAAAAGTTAATCCTAGTTAATAATAATATCCTTAGATCTTCGTATTAGAAAAAGCAATAGTTAAGCATTTATGCGGATGGCACTGGCACGGTGGCACCACGTGATAAATGCTTTGAAAAATCAAGATCGGTGGTGTAGCATATAATTTTCGATGAAAAATAATAAATGACATTTAAGTAAATAAGAAGAATGATTCAATCAATAAAGGGTAGAATAAATGAACCTTCCACTTGACAATGATTGACAGACAAATGCTTGAACAATCGGGGATTTCTCGAATCTGATGTTAAAGTGTAGATAAGAACCTCAGTGAAAAGTAAATCATTGTATTGAGTGAAGAAAGAATCTTTTTGTTAAAATGCCTTTCTTACAAAAATGTCACATGACTCTCTACCACTATTTCTTTTTATTTTATTTTTATTTTCTATTTATATGGGACATTCCCAAAAGAAACTTTAATAGTACAAATAAAGAGAATATCCACTAGAATATTCTTTTTTAAGATTCTATCTTGAAAACTAGCCGTCACAGCTCCCTCGTCGGTACTCGACCTCGGCCTCAATCCTCGTTGATGCCTTGACTACGGCCCTCCTCGACTCCTCGACCAAAGGCTGTGCGGCTTCTTGGGCTATTATAATAATGACGATTTGAGAATTTTTTCCGTAATGTTATCTTGACCTGAATATTGTAAGGGTAGATTTTGACCCATACAATCCCCTTAATCTTTAACGGTAGAAAAATAATTACCAGTTCATCTTTTGAATGGGAATATAACCCCCTTAGAACAACATTTTTCGGGATGTT